CGTAAGCATGCAGGTCGATTTAAAAGTAGAATACTTTTAAAAAAGTAGGAATGCGAGCCCTGAATTAAATATACAAAAAACTTTAGCGGAAGGCTAAAATAAAAAAATAAAAAATGAAATTTTATTTTGATATTTTACAAAAAGTTTAATTTTCTTGGCAAAATAATTAATTCCATTTGATTTTCTTTCTATTCTAAACTTAATTTGAGTTAGTCATGATAATAAGAAGGCTGCGTATTTATTCTAAAAATTGTAGAGATTGGATTAGATTGGTAATTAATTCCAAAACTTTAGGTTTCATCCTTCACTCATCCATCCCTCCAACAATACTTAACAGTAAATAATTATCGTTTTTTTCAACTATTTTAAGAAAACTTCGCCGGATTTACATTAATTTACATAGAAAAGCTAAAGTATAATCTTCATACAATAATCTTTTAAAATCTATGGATGAAACTGATCATCTATATAATCTTTATATAATAAATTCTTTACATCCATACCTTTTTAGATTAAATTAATTTTTCAAAAAGAATCTCAAACTTTGTAAATAAATCGAGAAATCTCTCTTCTATGTAGATTACCTCAAAAAACATTATATTTTCTGTAAACTAATTTGTCTTTTTCCTTTAATTAAAATATGTTTGTATTCCTCAAATAATTTAGAAAATGTTAATTTTTCTAAAAATAAAAACCGGAAGAACTAAATAAAAACTTCTTTCTTCTTCCAGTTTTTTGTTTAAAATTATTTTCCCCTCCTTCCCCCCTCATTTAGTTTCCCCAAGGTATTTAAAAATAAAAAAAAGTAAAAGCTCCCCTTCCCCCCCCCTCTTTTTTTACATCATTCTCTTTTTTCCTTCTTTCCCCCTTATTTTTTGTCTTCATCATTTTATATATTTTCCTTTTACTACTTTTTATTATTTTTCTTTCATGGCACATTTAAAATAAATTTTTATATTTTTTTACAAATTCTCTTCAAAAAAATTTAAATTAAAAAAAAAGTTTTTTTTTATTAAAAATTATATATTTTATTCAAAAAAAATATTTAAAAAATACTTTGAATAAATAAAATCCACAGGATTAATAAATTAATTGTTTACAATAAAATAATATTTACATATTATTCTAACTCCATATTAAATATCTAAAATTATTTTTTATTAAAATTTCGTTTAATAATTAAAATATTCTCTCTTTTTTTGGTTACAATCTAAGGGGGTATTTGCTTCATTTTTGTATTTTCCTGTTCAAAACTTTACTTCCGGGTTGAAAACGCTGTCGGGATTCGACAATATTAGATAAATGGCGTATACTTAACATATCCCGAGTCTTCGGGGTGGCTGGATAATTTTTTAATTAAATAATTTTAGTTTAAGATATCTAGAATTTTGTAGGATTCAAAATAAAAGAGTTTGCAGTTTATAAGAAATTCCTTCATATCCCTCTTTATTATTTATCTATCTCAAACTATCAATATAATTCTCTTATTAACTTGGCCAATTTTTAATACAAAAATTATATATTTGACAAGAAAATTAAATTTGGTTTTAGTGAGAGAATGAATTTTCTCATTTTTGTGAGGGTTATATCTTATACCCAATTTTTAACTCACATATTGTTTTTAATTTCAAAATAATTTTAAGCCAATTATTTCTTGAAAATTAGTTAAACTAAAAGACTAAAGTCTTCTAATCACCCCAGCCTTTCTTCAATAATTAATAGCAAAAATTCTGAAATTAAAGAAAATATATTTTAAAATCAGTTATTTTTTCCTCATTTTATATTTCTTCTTTTTTCCTTTTTAGCATTTAAAATTATTTTGCAGTAAATGTCAAATAATTACTAAATATATTTTTTCTGTAATTTATCGCTTCATTGAAAATTATTATTCTAAGAAATTTAGATATTCAAAGGATTTTTTGTTTGAGATTTTTAATTCAAAAGAGCATAAAATATATAAAATTTTTCCCTCAATTAAGTACTTCTACATATCTACTAATTACTAGAATATATAAATAAATATTTAATTTAAAAATTTTAGTTTTTAATGGATTTAGAGAATTTTTTCTCACCAAATACAACAATTTCATCTAAAATTATATTTTCCTCTCCTTCTCCAAATATTGGAGGAGAGGAAGGAGAAAATAATGAATTAAATAATGTTGGAGGTTTTTTGAAAATAAATTTAGAAAAAAATATTTTAAAACATAAAGGACTTCAACCAGTTCAGGGACTTCTTAATATTCACGATAATGATAGAGTTTTGTTGTATTTGAGATATTATGCAAGACATTTTATTCCAATATTTTGTCTTGTAGGAATTGTTGGAAATTGTATGGCCCTACTTTTAATTAGGTAAATAAATAAAAATTTTATTTTAGAAAATATAAAAATATTTTTTGCTAAATTATAAACAAGAAAATTGTTTTTATTATTTTCCACAGTTGGGGATTTACTGAAAATCTCAGTAAAAATTTTAAAAAAATTGTGAAATATTAAAAAAAATTAACTTAAGACTTTATTTTTTATTTATTTTTAAATAATTATTTAATTTTTTTAAAAAAGAACAAATTATTGGTTACGTCGATTAACTTCAAATATATATTTATGTACACTTTCTGTTTGTGGATGTTTATTTTTAACAACAGTTTTTATTACTTGGTTAGATTCATCTGCAGCTTTATTACCTTTATATTCACAGTCAGAAGTTGGCTGTAAAATATTAACTTTTACTGCACATAGCTGCGATTTTATTTGTGTAAGTTATTGATATATTCTTTTAAATTTATTAAACATTTCTTTAAAATTATCTAAATTTTATTTACATTAGTGGACAAAAAATAGGGGTAATATTAAGTAAAATAAAAATTACCTATTTTCTCAATTAAAAATTAATTTTAGGAAAGTTCTTTTGTTTAATATTCTCTCTCTTTTGTTACTTTTTTATTACCAAAAATGTGGATAATATTAAAAATAATGTCCCCTACTCTATAATTTTTAAAATTAAAATAATTTTTCAGGTTTGGATGATTTCCTGGGTATCTTGTGACAGAGCTATTGTCCTATTTCGACCAGGAATTCGTCGTCGAGTTTGTAATAAAAAATTCGCCAGAAATTTAGTTGTTTGTACTGTTTTATTTAGGTACTAATTAATATTTAAAAATAATTACAAAAAATTAAAATTAAAGTTCAACACTTTATGGTTGGTGTTTAGTTTTTGCTGGATTGGAAATTGGAACTGATGAAGTTCCTTATTGTGGAATTAATCCAGCTGTTCAGGGGTTTATTTAAATAGAAATTTTTTTAAAATGAAATAATTATTTAAAGTTATGATTTAAATCAATTACATCTTTTCTTTTTGACAATGGTTGGTAGTATTCTTTAGAATAATAAAGGGGATTTTAATTAATTTTTAATTGAGAAATTTTAATATTTTTGTTTATTATTTTAAATTTGAACAAAAATTCTGAGATTTTTTTAATGAAAAATTTTACTATTAACTATTTTTAAAATTTATTAGGATACAATATTATGTACAGTTGTTCCATCACTTTTAATTATGATTGTCAATTCTTTATCAATCTATAGATATAGACAGTGCATGAAAGTATGTAAATATTTGTTTCCTATAAAATTTATAAAATTATTTAAAAAAAGGTTTATTCATCCGGTGTTTTACGTGTCCGATTTTTGAGAGTTCCAGACAGACCTGTAAATGAAGAATATAATCATTTACAGCAACAACAACAATTACCTCAACAGAAAGAATCTCCAAACAAAAAACATTCATTATTTAGTAATTCAACAACAATTAACAGACCAACACAAACTGGAATGCTTTCTGCTACAGCAGCTACAAATAATAGAGGAGGAAGTCCAAATGCTGCTAGTGGAGGGAGTGGGGGTGGAGGGAAATTAAAATCTTCTGATCTGACTTTGAGTAGATCTTTACTTATTGTTACAAGGTGAATTTTTTGTTGGAGAAAAGGAAGGGAAATGTGGGTGGGAATTAAAGGAGTTTTTGTCAAAATTAATTATATTATTTTCTCAAAATAACCCCTTTTCTAAAATAGCCCCCCCTCTAGAGGTCGTTTGAAAAAAATAACCCCTTATTTTAGGGAAAATACGGTATTTTATAACCACAAAAAATTAATTTTAGTCTTACTACAAACAAATCACTTATTTTAATTTTTAAAATTTTAATTTTCAGTACATTTGTTCTTCTCAATGTTCCAAATTACGCATTTCGTTTATATGATGCATTATTTAATGTCGAGCAAACCCATTTGTGGCTACTTTTATATTTTATAACATTTTTACTTTATTATTTACATCATGCCGTTCTTTTTTATATGTTAGTGTATTTGTATTTATTTAATTTATAATTTATTTAAAAAGGTATATATTTTGGTCCCCACAAATGAAAAAACAATTAATGCCAACAGCATTAAAATTACTTGAATGTTATTGCTTTAAAACAGTCCCAGAATTTGGACATCATTCACAACTTTCAATGCAACAGGCTAAATTACAACAACAACAACAAAATATATGAAAACAAAACAGAAAATATTCAAAATAATTATTTGCTCATTTTTTAAATTTATATTTTGTGCAATTAAATTAATTAATAAAAATTTTAAATTAATTTTAAATTAAGAATTTCTCAAAGAGAGGATTTGAAATATTAACTGAATTTTCTACTTTTTTTTTACAAAAATTGTCTTATAATCATTTGACTGCTTCAATATCCAATTAAGCTAGCTTGAGTATTTTATCTCATCTCACTAAAAATCATCCTTTCCTTAAATTGTTGCAATATTTTATGTTTAGAATTTTCCTTGTGAGAGCGAATTTCTATTCCTAAAGTTTTAAAATAATTTTAGGAGAATAATTAATTAAATTTAATTTAATATAAAAGCAAAAAAACAAACAAATTTAAATTCTTAACGTCTTCACAATTCTCTCCAAATAAAGTTAAGCTTCTCTTTCCTCTTGTGATGGTTAAATATCAAACAATAGATTCTGCATATTTAATTATTGGCGGCTTTGTTTTGGTTTTTATTGCAATTTATATTTCTATTTGTGTTTATTGCTTTTTAAAAGTTTGTTGTCTTTATTTTGTTTAAATTTAAATTAATTTTTTTTTAGAAGCAACGCCAAAAACAACAAAACCCAAAATTCCGTGATCCCTATGATTTGAATAGACATGAAAGGAAAGAAATGAAAATTGGACAAAAGAAAACAAAAAAAATTTATCACGACAAAGACAGATTTGTTTACAAAGCTGGGGCTTATAAGCCTTTAAAGAGTATGGGAAGTAAAGTTATTCCTATCCCGTCAGGGATTGAAAAGGGTGTAGCTGTGCCTATGACTGTTGATTCTATTGTTGAAAAATCAGGTAAATAACGAGGAAATTTATTCTAAAAAATAATTCTTCTTTTTTTAATTTTACAGGAGAAAACTTACTTGCCAACGATGCAGCATACAAAGATATAATTAGTAGAGATTCAGTAAAGAAAGAGGAAAATTCAGAAAAGAAAGAAGAAAAGGAATAAAATGTGAAATCTATTTTTTAGAAACTAATTGTCTTTAATGATTAAATTAAAAAATTGAAAGAATATTTTTATTAAAAATGATTTTATTGAATTTTTTGATGTATCATATCTTTTTGTAAATAATTTGTAGGCTTATTAAATTTATTTTAAAACATAGTACCTAGTTTAAAATTTAAAAATATACTCAAAATTATTCAGATACGGAAAAGTATTAAGATAAATTATTAAGATAATGAAAAGCCATCATTTCAACCGATTCATTTTATGCTATTTAATACACCAATTTTGTTCAATATTACAACTTGAATATAATCCAGGAAAATATTTTTGTTTGAAATATGTAATTTATGTGCTTGTTTATTATCACAGTTTTTTGATTGACTGTCAATTTATTTAAAAAAATGACTATTTTGCAAATTTAATTGACAATAATATATTCAAAATGTGTCAATTATTAACCTCTTCTTATCAGCTGTTTGGAAGAGTAAAGAATATTTTGCCTAAAATATTTCCCTTTATTTTGTTTTTTGTTCAATAAATGATTGGCGCCTCTTCCTTAAATTGACATTTTTGTAAGAAAATAGGGCAAAGTTCCCTATTAATTGTCAGAAAGATGGCGCCAAATAGTTGCTATTTGGGCAAATATAAGCCAGCCCATCCTAGCTATTCCTCATCATTTTTAACTTCTTCCTCCTCTCCTTCCCCATAAAATATTTAAAAATCCAAAACCATTTCTAAAAATCAAGAAATAAGGCAAACAATCCTCAATGCGGATTAATTCACTTCTTCTTCTGTTGGCCATAGGCTTATTAGGCCCTTCAAATTTGGTCGTTGGAGATGAATACCCGGCAACCTCGACATTGAAACGTTTCTTATACCGACACTTTTTTGTGGATAATTCTGCCTCTGAACAAACGCGTGCACCAAACTTTCAAGAAGGAACAGTATATCACTACAGTTATGATGCTCAAGTAGAGAGTGGATTGAGTACTGTAGACGAATCTGGCACAACAACTCAGACATCTGACAATGGACAGCAAGCCGTTACGCGTATTCAATCCCAAGTTAAAGTTTATTTTGCAAGTCAAAGACGTGCTCTGCTATGCATGACACAAAACAAATTCGGGCAATTCAACGAACAAAGGAAACAAACAGACAGCAACCAATGCTATGAACCTTTAAGCATATTTGAGCCGGTATACAATTCTGTTGTCTTAAAAACTGATTTAAATTTTTAGAAACAAATCCCCCAAGAACAGAGACAAAAACTTGAACTTTGCTGTCAATTTGATTATGTTGATGGGGTAATTGTTCGAGTCCAATTCGACAAACAGGATGAGCAATGGTCGAAAAATATGAAGAGAGGTGTTCTCAACATGATTCAGATAAATTTGAGGCAAAACAATGCTCAGGAATTGGCAACTGAACAATCAAGAAATCAGCAGGAAGGAAACATTGAAGAGAATGAAGCAACACAAATGAGAGACCAACTTGCTCATTCTTTCACCATCCCCGAAGTTACTGTCGAGGGAGAATGCCAGACAACTTACACAATCAACACAGCAAATCCATCCCAACATTGCACACAAAAAAGTTCTGATGAAAGTAACAAGCAACAGCAAATGCCATGCTCTTTCAATGTAACCAAATCCATCAATTTCAAGCAGTGCTCCAGAATTGGTGATATTTCTGCTGGCTTCCAAACTGAACAGCCACAGGCTCACTGTGCTCAATGTAAAATGGATTGGTATAAACAAAAGGATGGAGATCAACAACAATCTGGAACGGCAGAACATCCTTGTGCCAAATGTGACCCAAAACGAATTAAGGAAGAGACTGTAAAATAAACGGTTTCTATGAAATTTTATATTCTAAATTAAGCTTGATCGGCAAACAGTAATGCGTGCAATGCTTAAATGTGGAAGCGAACAACAGATGATCGAAGGAAAACAACAGGAAACACCAAATAGCTGTCAGCTTGATAGTTCTGAAATGCGTTCCATGTATGTCTACAAAAACACCAAAACTGAAAGTGGCCCATATGGTTCGGCAATGCGTACTGAAGTCTGTGCCAAACTTCAATTACGTTCTGCTCAATCAACCCAAGACCAACAGGTACCCACACAGACCTTGGACAACGACGAGTCTTTGGTCTACACAGTTCAGACTTTCTCAGACTATGCACGCTTCTATATGGTTAATTTATTTAAATTTTAATTCAATAAAAAATATTTTAGTTTGGAGATGAAGAATTCCCAGATTCAACAAGTTCCCCATTCTTCTCGGTACCAAAAGTAGAACAAGCTGGTCAGGCACTTCGTGCTCTAGTTCAAAGCACTTTGGATCATCATCATGGCATTGACACCAAACACACTACTCAATTGAATAGATTAGTTAAAATGCTGAGGATGTGTAGCTATGAAGATTTAAAACAAATTGAACAAAATGCTCAGCAATACCATCAAAATCAACAAGAAACTGCCAAACAAATACTTGTTGATGCAATGGCTACTAGTGGGACTCGAAATTGTGTTGTTCGACTAGCTGAGATGATTAAAAACCAAGTAAATTTAACCATCTTTTTATCTATATTTAAATATTTTAGGAAGTCCCACCTCACAAAGCTGCATATACAATCAGTCAATTGACAGGATTGCAAGCTCCATCAAATTCAATTGTAAAGGAAGTTCAAAAACTCTGTCAAAGTGAACAAGTTCAAAATCAGCCAATAGTTAAACAAGCTGCTTGTTTGACTTTTGGGGCATTAGTTAATGAATTATGTTCTCAAAAGAGAAGTGAAAAAACTCCAGATTTAACTCATCCAATTCCTGAACAATGTACAGACGATAAGAAGGAACAATACAAACAAGTATACATACATTTAAATATTTAAATAATTAAATAATTAATTATTTTAAAGGTTTTGGTAGAACAATATGAAAAAGCAACAACTCTTCAAGAAAAATTAAATGCTTTAGCTTCTCTTGGAAATGCAGGAATTGACACTTCTACTCCCCAACTTGAACAAATAATTAAAGATAGAAGTGAACATTCTCTTTGTAGAGCAAAAGCAATTGATGCTCTTCGTCGCCTAACAACAAAACAACAAATGACTGTCCAACATATTATTTTACCTATTTATCTTAACAATCAAGAAGATCCAAATGTCCGAATTGTAGCACTTCAAATATTAATGAGAACACAGCCAGAGCCATCAGTAATTGATCAAATAATTTATACAATGAGTCAAGAGCCAAATAAACGAGTAAAAGCATATACATATCAAACAATGAAAATGGTAGCTAAATCAAAGAATCCAGCTGACAGACAAATGTGAGAAGAAGAAAAAATATTTTTATTTAAAAAATAAATTATAATTTAAGGGCCAAACACGTTAAAAATGCAATGCAATCAGCTAACGTTGATGAACAACAACTTTGGAGTTATGGAAAATGGCAAATCCCAGTTTACAGTCCCGAACAAGAAGAAGGAATTTTCTTAACTTTGTCTAACGAATATTCACAACGTTCTTGGATGCCAAGCTTGTCTTACATGAAAATTGATTCTTACTTTAAAGATCAATCAAATGTTAATGATCTTGTATTTTATTTAATGAAAAATCAGCCATTATATAGCCAAGATTACACAACAAAATCTCGCAATCGCCGAACAGCAGCCATTCGCGGTTTTGAAAGAAGAGAATTTGAACAAGAAAATAATGAAAACACCCAACAAATTAAAGATATGCACAGTCAACTTGGAATAAAAAGTCGTCATGGAGGATATTCATTTAATGATAGATTTACAAGATCAGGACAACAACAACAACAACAATATAGCTATAACAATAATATTAATGTTTTTTGTACAAGAATTGGAGATGTAGACCATTCTTGTTATGAAATACAAAATTCTTATTTAAATCAAACACAACAACAACAACAACAACAACGACAAAGTCAATCATCATCAATGCCAACACTTCCCCCAATGTTTACAGAATTAATTCAGTCAATTCAAAACAGAAGAAAGCCAAGTTTAGCAAAAATGTTTTCTGAATTAGAACAATTACAACAACAAAAAGTATATCAATACACAATTGCATCAATTTTAAATGATAAAGAAGCAGTTATTCCAACTTGTGTTGGTCTTCCCCTTGGAATTGTAAATTCTGTTCCAACAATTTTAAATGTTGAAGGAAATGTTAATTTACAAAAGAATACAGAAATGGGAGTAAAAGTACAAATTAATGGACGTATAATGGGTGGAATGGCACATATACAAAAAATGGTACTCCAAATATTTTCTTTAAAAGAAAATATTTTTTTATTTTTAAAGCGTTGTTGGACTCCTTTCCTCGTTTCTGGTGTTAAATCTATTCGTTCAATTGAAATTAATGTTCCAATAAAATTGGACATTAATGCCCAAACAACAACAACAAATAATGGAAAACAATCATTAATTATGAGTGTTAAATTGCCAAAGGAAAAGACTCGACTTGTTGGGGCTCATTCACATCCATTTGTCTATACAGCTGATGTTGATCCAAAAACTAATTTAGTTATTGAACCTAGACAAGTTAGAACAATTAGAATTCCAAACTTGGATAGATTCCAATATCAAATGAATACTTTAATTGGTGGAAAGAATTTGGGTATTCCAGTTAATGTACATGGTTGGTGAAGGGAAGGGAGGGAGGGGAAGGGGAGGGGAAGGGAGAGGGGATGTTATTTGGGGACAAATATATATTTTCTTAAATTTTCTTAAAGCTCACTACCATTGGCCTTCATCTTCTGTTAATTTTGAACAAATCTGTAAAATGTTAATGGCAACAGAAAATGCCATTCACGTCACTTACCAACCAAGAGGAGAAGAATCTGCAAGTCAAGTTGTTCTTCGAATAAATTTAGAAAGTTTCCAACCAACAAATAATTATCAATTAAAAATGAATGATTTTTATTTAAATAAATTTAAAAATATTGAAAACGAAGAAGGAGAAGAAGAAGAAAGAAATAAT